CCCCAAAACCCCAAAACCCCAAAACCCCAAAACCCCAAAACCCCGATTTAAGAAGAGAAGATTGAAGGTATATAATATTAATTTTATGGACACCAACTCGAAAAATAACAACATTTGGGATGATATTGACTGAACCGTCACTGATGAGTACAATCAGCCTGGAAAGACTAATAACGTGTATCAGTGGAAGCCAACCAAGAATATCTTAGTAGAAGATAAAGGCAGTGACTGTTCTGCTATATGGATGGCTGCTAGCCATGACCAGCAAGATGAGGAACCTATTCAAATGCCGGAAAGAGAGAAAATAATAGCTAAACTTAATATGACCGAAGATACTCCAAGAGCTTTACCTGACATGTTCTTGAGCTGCCAAGCTGAAGATCAAGGATTCTCAAAAGGTTTAAGAAATCAAAAGAAATCCAAATTCTTCTTATCTCCTGGACAAAAAGTGAATCCAGCTGGGAATATGAAAAATTGGAAGGAAAAATGAAAAATTCACCAACAAATGGCTTCACCTAAAATATTGCAGAGTATGAGGCCCAGATCTGCAGAGAGTCCTCATCAATCTTAAGATTTAGTGTTGTACCTGCACTTCATCACCTATACTTCTACTTAATAAATTTGGTTATAATAATAGTGTCAAGGTAGGGTAGTAACCTGTATAAGCTCTTAGCTACAATCTCTTTTGAAGCTTTCTGTCTATTTTAAGAACTATTCGAACTCCCAAATCTATTAGTTTCAATAATTTATGGGTGATTTTATGAATCTGAGCCCAGAAATCTCGGAAGCCATAGTTAAATAAAGTGCTGTTGAGGTGTAAAAAGTTTAGCGTGAGGAATAGAAAGAAAAGTGTACTCAAAAAATTTAGACCATGAACTGTAATTTCTAACTTGGAATTTTTACTCTCAGAAGTAAATAGATTTATGAACTTTTCATAACTTTCGGGTAGACAACTGTAAGTTTAAAGTTTTAGTCTCCATTGCCATCTGCTTTCTTCTTTATCACTAGAAAATAACAGACAGATCTGAATTTTATGTCTATTATGTTATAAATATCTTGAATAAATTTATTGCTATTCAAACTAGCCTCTTTTATAGCATCAAAATGCACAAAATCTGATATCTCTGTATTAATTATCAGATCTCTCGAACACAGTAAAAACCTAAACCAATAGTACCCTAACCTTCGTGGAAATGCTAGTTTAGGCTTATCACCACTGGAGTAGCAAACCAGCTGTAGATTTGCCGAAGCTTAAATAAAGGAATTGAGTATAAACTTATCGTTAGAATCCCTTAATCTTGGTCAAACCCCACTAGGTAGTAAGGACTCATAGTTAAATGTAATGTTCGTACTTCCTTAAACCAATTTAGCTCTATTAGAGTGCTTAAGCTGTACCATGGCTAGGTAATCTTATGAGCCGTGTGGTAAATCGTTGGATATGATTAAGTATCGATATAATTTAGCACTCTTTATCAAGAATATAGGCATTTTAGTAGCAATTCGTGAATTTTAATCCAGGTTTTTACTATATTCTCCATATTTGAGACATTTTCAAATGAAATCTTTCAATTTTCAATATGAGAATACAAACCTGGGGTTTTGGGGTTTTGGGGTTTTGGGGTTTTGGGG